TTTTAATTATGTTTAAAATTATGAACATTGCTCAACATCATGAAAATTAAACCTTATTTTCAATAAGCGATCCTGAAAAATATTTGGGGGTGCTTAACTTTTTTCCAGGTGTATATAACGTTGTGCGGCAAATGAAATAGGATTGGTTTGGTGTAGTTTTGAATTTCGCGCAGAGCTACACGAGGGCTATCTGCGCTAACCGTCCCTAATTTAGTAATGTAAGATATAGGGAAGGCAGCTAGTCATCACCACCCACCGCCAACTCTTGGGCTACATTTTTACCAACGAATAGTGAGATTGACCGTCACATTATAACGCCACAACGGCTGAAAGGGCGAGCATGTTTGGTGTGACGGGGATTCGAACCCGCAGATTGCGAGTCGAGCGCCCTAACCACCTGTCCATGAAACAGGAACAAGGCAATAAAACAAAAATACCTCTATATGTTTTAGTATCAGATTACATGTCACGACATGCAAGTTTTAGCTATATACAATTGCCTATATGCTTCAATTGTTAAATAGTGGGATATATTAAGACATCTTTCAAATGGAATTTTCAGAAAACTTTTCAGATTACATTCCAAGAAAAATGAGTTTTTACAAAATCAGCCTTGTAAGAGTCACGGCATCTAATTTTTCTTTTTCTAACTACAGAGGGGTCTTGGTTATCGTTTGACTCATCTAGAATTTAACATTTTTCAATTCTATTTTACTTAGGATATACTATATTAGAAGGAGTACTGTAATTAAACTTCATAGTTTTAACTACCTAAACCAATATAAATTTGTTATAAGCGCAAATGCAGCATTTTTTAACATACCTGTAGACATACTAAACTGTGAATTATAAGCACTAAGAAAACTTCATTTATCATGCAAAGTACAAACCCTGTTGGAGGTTAACTTATTGCTAATTTGATAAGGACATTTGCACTACATTCTAAGAGTATATTTACCTTTCTCCTTTTTTGTTCCATTGGATCTTATTCATCCTTATGAGCAATGAAGCTTTGGAAGGGAACTGTTTTAAAGATCAATCTTTGTTTGGGATTGGATTTTTAACATTGCAATCCTTCTTAAAGAAAGGTAGTTTTTTGCATTTTTAATTGTTCTAAATCAAACTTACTCATAGCATTTTTCCATGGTGCAGTTATCGAGGCATGTTATTACTTCAAATTGTTTGAAATTAAGCACAAAGCTATGCAATGGGCTATCTGTGTTCTTCTCACCATGGGTATCGAAACCCGGCTTCTAGCATTGCAAGTCCGAAGACATACCGCTGTGCCACTGTTGGGGGGGGGGACATTAAAATCTACACAGATAATAACAGTATCACTTTTATTGATAAAAAGTTAGGAAGGTAATTTACAGTTGCATCCTCACAAAATAGGTCCTTACAAAATAAATTACTCCAAAATATAGGAACGTAAACAGTAAATTTAAAATTCTAGTTTCTGTTAAAGACTTATCAGACAGGTTAATAAATTATTCAACAAAATAACAAGAACTTTACATCCCGTTATTGTGAACTTTCGGTCTCAAAAATGGAAGCTTCAACATTGGAGTCGATATTGAGATATGAAAGCTCGTAATTAATTCAAGTTTTTAGGTAGCGAAAAGTCATAGAATGTTGACTTCATGAAATCAAAATTTAACATTTTATTATATCTTTATTTTAATATTCTTTCTTGTTTTATTTTCAGCTTGTAAAAACCGGTTGGGTGATTCACAAATTTTCGGAGGAATATTGAAACAACTATGTGGCAGAGCACAGAATGATGTTCACATCTTCTAGTACTTAATTAAAAACTTTTCAACTTAAAGAAAAGGGGGCGATGTAGTTACTTGTATATTCTATCAAATGATGGCTGATGAGCAGTTACCCCTCACGCCGCCAGAGAACACTACACGTGTGCCGATCTCAGGCTATTAATAGGGGAAAAAAGAGTAGAGTTCAGTAGAGACAATGACGTCCACGAAGTGGATCAATGTGTCTCAACATGTAATCAATGGCTAGATTTAATACAGTCAGTATAAAACACAAATTCATTAGTTGCCTATTTTAGCACATTTTTTTTTACATTTCCTTACCATTTATATGTAAGTCACTTATCATCCTGAAAAGGACATGTATATAATTAAGTATCATGCAATAATTTAATACTTACTCTTTCACTAATTTGTCTTTATGCTATCTATATAATTAGTTACTAAGAGTAGTATCTCAACATGTAATCAATGGCTTGATTTAACACAGCTGGTATAAAACACTAATTCATTAGTTCTATATTTAATCATACTGTTTTACATTTCCTGGCCATTTATATATAAATCATTTATCATCCTGAAAAGGATGCTTATATAAATATCATGCAATATTTTAATACTTACTGTTTCACAAGTTTGTCTTTATGCTAACCACACTACAAGACAAAATATTCCATTTCACAGGTTATTTTACAAGGGTGAATGGTGTGACTATACTTCCACCTGAAGTTTTGTTAAGTACATATGATATTATATTGGCCTATAACGAAACATGAGTTTTATATAAAATAATCACAGAATACTGTTTTGTAACTTATGATATTTCTATAAAGTGATATAATCAAATAATTATAGTTAAAAGTCGGTTATATTAATTTGTGTATTTGGAAAATTACTAAGTTTAATGTACATAAAAGTTTTGATAGATGTAGAAATCTTTACTAAAGATTTGTCTGTGAATTTATGAAACCTTTACTGTGTCAGATTTGGGTGAAAGATGATTTTCATGCTATGAATAAAACTACTATTTTTTCAGCTTTATGAACTTTTCACATCTGCTTTCTTTTAGTTTGATTCCTTTAGAGTGCAATTAGGCTGTCTCAGTATGTGAAACACAATATATCACTGCAGGATAGCTTAGTGTAAACAAAGGAAAAAGCTACATCATTTAATATCATACCACATAAATTATATGAGCAAGAGATCACGAGAAATGTTTTTTTTTCATTTAAGTTTTATTATATAACTTAAGTTTCTAATCTTTATATTCTACTTAGTTTCTTAAAATATTTGTAGCGATAAAAATATACGTAAAAAAAGAAATTTATCATTTATTTTAGCTGGGGTATTTGTCTTTGACAATGTACTTTGATAAGATTACCTCTTTCTTACTATGTTGGTTGTCCACAAAATAATTCATGCTACTCTCAAATATGCATTTTAGAATATAAAAAATATATCAGTCACCAGAATAGAATATCCATAAAATATGTGATTTTAACTGCATTTTTAGTTCAGCTATAAGAAGGTTAAAAGATATGTTAGCTGCTAGGAGCTGAACACAACAACAATCACAGAAAATGAACCTCAAGGAAACTGTACTTGTTTGCGAAAAGGAAATAGATGTTCTTTCTATTGGTTAGAAATACGTTTAATAGCAATGTCAAAGAGAATGATAGATATGTCTTGAAAAATGGGAGGGTGTGTCATGGTGTTATAAATATAGTACAGCAAGAAGGTTGGATGTTCAAATTTTATATTCTGGCTTGTAAGTATCTATGGCATGTGTTTCTAATTGTTGGACACTATGAAACTCGTATAAGGCTAGAAAGAAAGTCAGAGCACAGACAGATCACATGACACAGAGAAGTGAAGATGGAGAATTTATTTAAATATTTTCTTCTGAAATTAAAACTCAAGTAATTTAAACATTTGAATTATAAACTACATTTTGATACCAACTTTATTGGCATATATTAATAATAAAAGTAGTTTTAAGTTTTTTATAATATATTAAACTTCTCATTAATCTTAATTTGCCCCTATGAATTTTCTTTCTCAGTACCATCTTTTTTATCATTAATCAGCATATGAATTTTTTTGTGTCAGAAACATTTGAGTAGTTTATATACTTTTTTTAAGTCTTTGTCAGTCAGATATTGTACATCTTGTTAATATTCAAGTTTGGCAACAAGTATGTTTGTAGTTTTTTTATTTATACCATGGTCCCCTGGTTGCTCAGCAGTAAGTTTACAGATTTACAATGCTAAACTCCAGGGTTAAATTCCCTGTGGTAAACACAGCAGATAGTCCATTGAGGATTTATGTAAAAAAACAAAAACAAACTTAAACTAGAGGTAGTTATAAAGTTAACAATAATCAGTTATGTATTGGAAAAAATGTTTAATTGTTGCAGATGCCTGTTCTGAACAAGTATCCAAAACTATAATTGCATTAGTTTTCTCCATGCTGCTAACCATTCACATTATTTTAATACTTAATACACTTTGCATTGCATAATAAATTTTTCTTAATAAAATTATATAAAAATTGAAAAAGAAAGGCCTACCTTGTAAAGTGTTCAGACTTTAATTTTTTTTTTGGTTCTATGACTTATCTATTTTTTGATTTTTTAGTGTCATGAATATTGTGGCTACACGACTAGTAGGTAGTTACTGTCAATAAATTAATAGAAAATAGTTCAAAAAATTAATGTATCAAAGAATTTACAATAAAAGTAAGCTTTTACAAGGGATATTACCCACAAAATTAACAGAAATTGGTTACTTAAATATTATCTAATTAGAAAAAGTAATGATGCACTGCAATAATTTTTCAATTCTAAGAGTGTTTGTAAAATGTATCACTAAGGTACTAGTGTCAGTAAATGAGACATTTCAGGAAAGTGAAGCTGAATATTTTTGTTGATAAGATATTAGGCATAAAATATGAATACCTTGTTCACTTATTTTGGGTTTGTAATTTTAGGCCTTCGTATAAAAGAGAGAGGTTATGTCTAACATAACCCAAAGCTAGAGATTAAACCATATAAATTCTGTTTATAAGTTATTCTTTAATTTTCATAAATACAAAATTACATACTATGTGCCACACAGGAAAGCTGGTTTCAAGAGGGATGTATATATATATATATATATATATTAACCTTAATAACTATTTATTTCTGTAATGGTAGGGGGATAATTTTATTCTGCTTCAGAAGATTGGATTATTACTTCAATGTTAAATGAATACTTTGAAACTGATCAAAAAGTAATTTTAAAATTTGATTAAGTTCTTATGAAAAACCCAGATATGCCCTTATGAATGAAGATTTTGATGATGTTTTATTATCAAGTATATTTTATTCTAGTGAAACAAAGCTGTCCAATAATTTTCAAGTTGCCAAAATATTTATTAATGATGTAAAGTCTTCAATCTGTAATGATATATCCATTTTGAATTTCTACACACTGGGTAAAATATATACATTCTTGCAAAGAAGTGGAAATTCTTTTATGCCAAGAAAACAAAAAGAGGGAAGATGTGATTAACCAATAGGTGAGCTTATTCATTACCCTCATCTCTTTCTGTAAAATCTACAACTTGCTCAATGTGAAAAATGAAACAACCTTGTACCTGCATTGGTGAAACCAACAGGCCCAAGGTTTCTTCAAATAATGTCTGTCAGGCCAAAGCCACAGTTAAATTCATAACTTGAGATCTTAATATTCTGATCAAATCCTCAATTTTTCATTCAGAGGTTGCCTTCTCAGTGATTGATATATTTTGTGCTGGACAACACTTACAAATTACTGTATGTAGTTTCATATGCATATCCAAAATCTTATACTTATAATTGCAAATATATACCAACATATAAAGATAAGTTTCCAACTTAAACACTTCATCACATAACTTTTGACAGATTGCCTCAGGCATGCATTTCATTGGCAGTCACAGTCCAATAATGTACCACCACCTATGAACAGTGAAATTCAACAGACTTTTAAAGGCTTTCAGTAATAAATAATACCTAGTGGAATTTGGCAGAATTAGACTATACACCCAAAATTCCTTTCACCATTTCCATTAGTACATTTTCAAATAAACCACATTTAAATATAATGGACAACAGTAAATGAACATTCATTGTTTGAAATGACCACCAACCATAGACTTTGCACTGTATTGCTTTACACCAGTTGATCTACTCATTTTAATTGGCATCACAGAAAAGCAAAGAACACAACTTTTCCCACAGCACTTGGAGGAGTTATAAACAGTTAAAGAGGTCAAGTCTTTTTTTTTTAGAGAACTCTGCAGCTCGTTTGGGATAATTGCCACTACTTTGATAAAGGAACGTTATTCTCACTTCATTGCTCGGAAAACAATGGTTGCAACACCTTTAATTTTTAGTTCCTCAACCAATAACTGTCTTACTTTGAGGTTATTGAGTGGGTGTCACAAAGAATATCATTGTCACATTTTATTAGATTAAACCATTCAGATGCTTGGAAAGCAGGGATCACAATACCCTTTCAGTTGTTGGTTTCTCAACCAAATAACAGTCCCGACTATGATGATTGAGAATGTAATCATACAATATAGTGTACTTGGAAAGGAAAGAATGCCATGATCTTTAAAACAATGTTTCAATTACATGATCATCCTAGCTATCATTTGATAGCTCAGAAAACAAGGGCCTCAAAACGCTTTCATCCATTGGCTTTTGTCTTTTACCAAACAACAGCCCTAACTGTGTAATAAGTGTAAAATCACACCTACTGAATACCACACAAATGTGGAAGGTATAAATTACTATTGATTTTCAGTGACTGTGCAACTCAGTAACTGTCTTAACTACTACCAAATCAGTGATGATTATATTGTGCAGTATATACACGATATCTAGATCACTACTTAGGAAAGGGTTACTAAGCCCTTTCAATTAGCAATTTATGAACTACATGACTGTCTTAGCTAGTCTGGAAGTTAATCCTAGCCATTAATGATCAGGAAGTTGTTGTCAGCAATCCAGTTAATTATTGGAACTTTCAGCACTTTTTCAGGTCTTCCTCATTAAACACAGCCAGGTAAGTATTTTCATCTTTCTACTCCTCCTCAGCTCAGTTGCATCACAAAAATCTATTTTTCCTGAGATTTACTAACCTTGAACTATGATTCCTGGGCAAGCCATGGCATGAGAAATTCAAATGTAATGTACAGTCACAGTTCATCCATTTAGTGGAAGAGCTTGCATACATCCCATGAATACTAGATTTCAAGGATCAACTTGTCTGAGTACTACTAGGTGTGGACCAGTCCAATTAGAGCTGAGTGTTTTCTGTACTGCAAGCGCATACCACTGGAAGACCCAGTTTTCATGACTTTTATTGTTGCATCTCCATGTTTATACAGATGTCTTCTGGTTTTATATTTCGTCATTACCCTTCTACAGACGTCATCTATTTCTCTGATACTCTCCTCCTCAGTGCACAAACTCGTGTATATCTGCCAGTGCTCTTCTTAACTACTGCACAGAGGATTGCAGTTCTCCCCAAATGGTTATATGGTTCAACAAACACATTGACTACTTGGCCAGAAGGTTACTAAGACTGGCAATGTTTTGAGTCTAGATTGCTACTACAACCCCCAACTAGCACCAATTGCAGAGTATTCATTTTCAGATGTGGTGCAACAGAAGCAACCCTAGTGCTACAGTTAGTATTGGTTACATCCACTTTGGTTACCCCTCTGGTGACCATTCTAGCAGGAAGCTTGATAGCTGATTGTCCATAATTGCAGAGCAACAATGGGCATTCATCTCTTGGTGGACAGATCACTGTCTGTGCCACTGCTGCCTACTTTCCATACAGAAGACAGGATGTCTCATGTTAGCTCAACAGCAATTTTACACAGTATCAACACATTTAATTTAGTCTATAGTAAACAATGGCACATAATTGCATACACAGAGGTACTATTATTTCCTCTGCAAGGTACACACAAGTGGCCCACTATCTTGGGTCAGTTCTGACTGGCACTAGATAGACTTCTTACCAAAATTCAACACGATGTACAGGCAAAGTTAGCAAAGAGCTTCTGTAGTACATCTCCTCTAAATATGCCAATGCCAGAGTTCTTGTATCTTCTGTATCAACCAGGAACTCCACTACCCTACTATACTGACCACCCCACCCTTTGGCACAAACTATATGCTGTGCTTTTCTTGGGTAATGGCCATACCTGACTCTGAATCCATTAGTATTTCATAGGTTAAATGGCACTGTACTGCTAGCCATCCTGCATTTGTGCAGTCTTGCTGCCTAGCAATTTATTCAAAAACGGTGGTGGCGGACTACAGAGATACCCTTGTCGATAGATGCAGTATCCACCATAGTTTCACTGAAAGTAGGACCACAACTGACACACCAAAGTGTTATGCCACAAATAGACTGTATCCAGTAAATAAGTTAGGCTATCCAGGCCATCCCATATTTATGCTAATGCAAATGCAGCCATTGCCTCCACACAGACATCACTTCAAGTGGGAAAACCCAACAATATACTATAGTTGTAGGTAGTGGTATTGCAGAGTATGCTTTCTCATGCAGTTAGTACAGATTATTGGCAAAGACACCAAAGTTCTTGGAGGGGATCCCTCTTATAGGCCTTGAATGAAGTTAATTTGGCCATAACTGTGTTCTAGTCAGTCAGCACGTGCCTCTATTAGATTGTCTGTTTGTTTTATAAGAAAGATATATATTGGGCTATCCACCATGAGGAATTGAATCCCAGATTTTAGCATTGCAAATCAGTAGACTTAGCAGTGTCCCACCAGATGACTATCCATTAAATACTTGACTGTGTTGATTGCTTGCTAGATCATCCAGATTCAAGATTATATGTTACATCACCTGCTCCTGAGACCAGTGGTTTCAGGAAATCACTAATCAGAACCTTCGTAGGAAGTGGACCAAGTCTTCCTGGTCTTTGTTAAATATTAGGGAAGTGATCTACTTCATCTCTGCCATGTGCATGCATGGTCTCAACAAAGATTTCTCCTGGGTGGGCTTGCATTATGCTCCAGACTGGAAGAGCCCCACACTTTGGTAAGTGTTAGTTGCTGTCCACAATGTTGATATCACCACTTATTCATTTCAACAGCAGGCTGTGTATATTTGTCAATATATATGACAAACCTTTTCAACTATAGTTATATCCATTAAATTACCCAATAGCAATCACTATAACTTCTATATACAAATAATCTTGCCCCACATTAATTTCTAAAATTGTGAAAGATTTGACTTCTGTGAAATTTATAAATTGTATATATTTGGAACAGCTGAAGTATTGACTTTTTAGTTCATTATACTTATACTAGTATAAAACCCCGTCAAAAATGATGAGGAACCATTGTTGAATGATTAATGCAAATTATACAGTTTAATTAAAACAAATTTGTCAGTATCTCCAAAATGCACCTACTCTTCACTTATTTCATCAGTCTTGAAGTAATTCTTTAATCACCACATTTGTAGTAAAAACTATGCAGAAAAATGAAATGTTATCGTGAAAAAAAGTATGTGTGCACTCTGAAAGAGACTTATTAAATAGCACTCTTGAGCCTTTCACTGTATTCTAGGTCAGGAAATAGAAAACATAGTACGAACATTCTGACAAATTTTCAACTCTCTCGACAGTACAAAGGATAAAAGATATTTGGTAGTAATAAACGTTTATTTATGTTTTGAGGCCAAGTAGGTAATACATGTATTAAAATACCAAAAGAATATTTATTAATTAACACTTATTCACTTCTTAAAAATTTTTAAACTATTATTCTATAATGTTAGTAATAGTAGGCCTATTTGTAGTCTAATTTAAGCATTAGGCCTAATACATAAATGTAATGCTTAGCTGAAACACTACTTTGTAAATTTTATTTTGCTTTTGGCTACAACTCAATGTCATAAAACTTCTGAATTAAATTATTTTGCTGTTATATCACTAAAGTTATCAAAAAAACAAAGAATAAAAAAACAAACCGTTCTAACAAATCAACATGAATATTGAGCATTCAACATAAACACCATAGTTGGCCAAAGAACAATCAGGTGCTAGTTTTGTTGCTAAGCAACAATGTATATATATATAAAAAAAAAGTGTGAAGTACCACAAAGGGAATAAGCCTTTTATAGTTAATGATAAGCATCTAATGGTCTATCAACTTTTTACAAAGATTCTGCCAGTGAGTGGAGTGAAAAGGGTTGAGAACCATTAATTTTATGCACACCAGAGAATATTTTTTGTTTTGCAACTTAATATCATAACTTGTTTTTGTGTTAGGAAAAATCTAAGAGTGAATTAAAGAAAAAAAAAAGGTCTTGTGAAGTTGCTTTTTTAATTCTGAAGTGGCTATGCAAGAAAAATCATCATTAAACTTTGTAAATTTAATTTTCAAACACTTTAAAAATTTTGTTTTGATTCCAAAATTATTGAACTTTTCGTGTAATCATGAGAAACAAGATTTAAAAATAATGGTAAAATTCTTTGGGTATTTCATTAAATGTGAATAAACTTTAGATTTCTTATTATTTAAAGAAATTTATATATTTCATATGAAGTGAAATCTATGTTTTTATTATTAAATCAAAGCTCAGCAACAGTAGTGTATCAGGTTGTTATAAAATACTTATTCCTACTTGAGAACCAAATGTCAGATATCTTTACTCCTCTACTTTGATTTTTTTGGTTTGTGCTTTAAGTGTGAAAAATCTCATTATACAATGTTGAACAGTGGTACACACAAAGAAGACAATAGGACCATAATTTAGAAGAGTCATTTATTATTCCATTGCAAAATTTAATAACTTCCTCCCCTTAGGTTCAAAAATGTTTTATGATTTGACAACATATGCAGTATTAAACAAAACTTATGTAAAATCTTAAAAATTAACTCTGCTAATCGAGAGACCAATTCATGATAATTGTAAGTTAGCTAATATTCTTAATTGTGTCAAGTAATTTTTTAATTCTATTAACAAAATTAAATTAAATTAAAAAGAAACAAATATTAATAGTTTGTGCAAAATAAAATTCTTGGTGGTAAGTGTCGGCCTAATAAAGACAAGTACGTGGGAAAAAACTGCAAAGCAATTTGAAATAACCAACATTTTACTTATTACATCATATATTTTTAAAGTGCTTCACAGGTCAAAAATGATAAATTTTTACAAGATATAACAACCATTTTCTTGCATGTCGTGAGAATATTGGAATTGATGGCAATTTCATTATTACACAAGTAATACAGTGTATTTCCAACAGTATAACTGGTTAACTTCTGATTGCCAAATGTTACCAAAAATATTAAATGTGTACACTCAAGATAAATAATGAGAAAATAAAATAATTACCATGTTCCAAATCATTTGATTCACAATATTTTTCTTTTGCATTATGATTCAACAAGTTACCCATGTCAGTAACATTGCAGATAAAATGCATAAACTTTTGTCCTAAATTCAACAAGTAACGTTGCTAATTAACTGGGCTTTTTGTTACCCCAAATTTTTTGGAAATACTTATTTTTTGATTGAGATCCATCATAAAAGCAAACAGGTTATATCTTAAAAAAGTAGGATGTTAGGCAAAGAAAGAAATGAAAAAAAAGAAAAAAAAAGAAGATAAATAACAGTTCTAGTTTTCACATTAAGCTATTAACCTTCTCACTACTGGCTTCATGGATTACACTGACCTTGTGACCATTAGTGTTTCCATACTACAGCTTTTGACGTTTTTTGTATCTCATGAAATATGACAAGATTCCAGCAAATATTACAAGGCTGTTGGACACAAAAAATCAGATTTTTTTAATTAAGTATTTTTCTCAAAATTTGACAGCGAATATATGGAGTCAAAGTGATTTTCATGTTACGATTAAAAATACTTTTCACCTGAAAATCGTGAAATTTTATTTGCATAATCTCTAAAACCTCTTAAATAAATAAGTTTTTTCAGTAAAACTTTATATTTTATAATGTTTACTGCCTTGCTATGAATGTTAAATTTAAGTTTTCCTACTCTTCAGGGTACAAAAAGTTGATATGGCATAACATCATTATTCAGATTTAATTGAAGGAAGATGAAATCAGTTATTTATTGGCATACTTTGAATATATCTGTTACAAAGATTATTATATTAGATTTTTAAGAAGCCAAACATTTGACAGCCACTCAGTTAGGTCTGCACAACCATACAATATCTGAACAATGGGTATTCATGGGAGGCCATGCCCTTGGCATTCAATCTCAACTAAAAAACTAAAAGCTTATGTTTGAAACTCAGTGACTACATTTGACCAGAAAGACAAGAACAGTTAGTACTGACTTAATATCAATGTAAATTCAAAATTACACATTACTTATTTTGTTCCAACATGGACACTATATCAACCACCAGTGAACACTGCCTTGAAACATGAAATAACAAGAAGCTAACCAACACAATGAATTTCATAATTTCTTAAAAAGCTTCAAGGACAATGGCTAAAAGGAGTATGTAAAATTAAGTGGCACAAATTTTTAGTGTTCACATGTGAAAAAACACAAAAATGAGAGGTAAGACTCAGTATATGCCTGAAAATTCAAATATATTCAGTGAAATACATAATTTGACTATTTTAAATAGAAATATTGCATGTGACTATTCTAATTAAATCTGTACAGGTAGTCTTGTTAAACTGAAAATGGCCTTAAGTTCAAACCAGATAATACTGTGTTACTTCTTAAGGTTATCCAAACCCAGCAATTTCACTTCCAAATATAAATTTAATTTTGGGAAGTATCTGAACTTGTGATGAATATCAATTGTGTTACTTCTTAAGGTTATACAAACCCAGCAATTTCACTTCCAAATATAAGTTTAATTTTGGGAAGTATCTGAACTTGTGCTTTTTTTGTCAATATGATGAATATATATATATGTATATTCAACTGTTCCAGGAACAGCTTAAAAGTTCCAATTTTTGATTAGCCACAATTTACAATGTAGAGTGAGTCAGAATATTTTCTGTCCTGTCTAATATACTCAGTTAAGGAAGGTTTATACAGAAATAACAATTACAATCACATTACTGTTCTTTCACTTCACTGAAACAGTACAACTTTAGGTCACCTACAGTTATTCAAAGCTCCTTCCATATATTAAAACGTTTGTGATATGACCTCCCCACAATTTGAGAAAGATCCAAGTAGAAAATGTACAAACATGCTGGCAGTGACTGTTTGGGTTCTTCACCATATGTTTCATTTTCATATGAAGAAGCAAGTTAAAACATGTTATTTATGATGTAACCAAGCATATGTTACTTTAATAATTCACTCATCAGATAGTCAATGCCATATACATGATAGATACCACTTAACTGAAGTAATGTGGCTGGACGAAGTCTTAAAGTGCCTCTAAATACAGATTATAATTTAGATGTCTATAATGGCATGGCACAGATGTATATCAATTGAATCCTGTGACAGTTTTACAAACATTCTGATATATTTTTTCTTCTCATTCTACTAGAATAAGGTCTTAGTACACTTTTTTGTGGAACAAGAACTGTCACTTTGAACATCATTTGAAGAGATTTGAAATACAGTGTTATTTTCACTTTGGAAGAGTTATTAGGACTTGCCAGAAACTGTTCACGAAGATGAAGTCATTTGTGTCAAGTCACTTTAGGTATATTTACAGTAATGTTTGGCATTAATGGTAACACCTTCCTGGTTAACACTGCTGCTTGCAATATTCACAAGCTCAAACAAAAATAAATAATCCCATTCTGTAGTGTTAGGTACACAATTTAAATAACACTTTTCAGTCATGACCAATAATTCTTTTGAGTAGAGAAGCTGTCAAGATTAATAGCATACCAGACTAGGTCATTTTTTCTTGATATTTCCACTTGACCTTAGACTTTTCTGAAAAAAGAAGCAAATATAACAAAGTCCCATTATGTCATGGAATTTAATGCTGTTAGCATATCTAGTACACACTGATATAAATCACTGATACACTATCAGAATGGTCAGTTATGGCTGATTCAATCAAATCACCTTAACAATATTGTGGTTTAATCCTTACTTAAGATGAAATAACTAACCAATTGTTACATATTATAATTTCTTATTTTTTCAAATGATAAGTACAAATCATTTTGAATTTTCTAAAACATTTTGTTCTCTGTATTAAACAAGTGCCTAGTCACAAATCAGAAAATCATATACTATGGGATAAGAAGCTATTAGAAATTGTCTTAACTGTTCAGTGAGTCAAACTTATTAAAGTTCAAATAAACTTTGTTCTAAGTGTAAAATATTGGTTTACATAATTCAGGACAAACAAGCGATCAACATCTCAAAGTGTGATGAGCCATCACAGTAGGGCACTGTCTCATTTCAGCTATATTACTATGCAGAACTGGATGATTAATTTGATTGTCATGAAAATAACTGATGTTGTGACTAACAAAAATTAATGTTTCAATTACTAATACTTTTAATTATTCCAACTATTCACATCTCATGTGAGAAGAACTGATCACTTTAATATAATCTGTTAATAAGCCTAATGATTAATCGATTATCAAATTCCACTAAATGCTCACCTCTAATATTGTGAGATAACACACATTATAGACAAGTCTCAAAAAACAGTTAACCTTAACCAGGCAAAGAATAATATTTCAAATCTACTGAATTTCTTACTGCAAAATTTTATCAAATGTTTTTTTTTTAAACTTACAATGCTAGATACTTAAGTAACATTTGCTTGTATACTCTCTAAAATCTTGCTTTACTAATTGAAAAATGAGTGACTAAAGCCCTCTGTTTGTTTGTTTTTGAATTTTGTGCAAAGCTACACGAGGGCTATCTGCACTAGCTGACCCTAATTTAGCAGTGTAAGACTAGAGGGAAGGCAGCTAGTCATCACCACCCACCGCCAACTCTTGGACTACTCTTTTACCAAGGAATAGTGGGATTGACTGTCACATTATAATGCCCCCACGGCTGAAAGGGCGAGCATGTTTGGTGTGATGGGGATTCGAACTCAAGGCCCTCAGATTGTGAGGCAAGAGCCCTAACCACCTGGCCAAGCCATCTGTAAATGAACAAGTCTTTTAAGGCAATAGTTCCAAACCTTTTACCAACTGAGGAACAGCTAATTGAGATCCCAAAATTTCATGGACCATTTTATATAATATTAACTTTTTAAGACACTTTTAAATCATATTGTAAATCAATATACTTCAGTAGTTGTATTTTAAAACATATTTTTTTTTACCATCTTGCAGATTGGCAGGTGGGAACCACAGTTTTAAGGAATTAACTTTTTTTCAACATACCCAATAACCTTACAAGCTCAAGATGGAATTCTCAGTATATTAATCCTAACAAGCATTCCTACAATAAGTGATGTATCTATATTTTTCTTTATACTTTTTAAAATATGTTGAATTCTATGCCCTTTCATACAAACATAATTCATAAAAACATTTATACCAAAAAGAAGTTTTTGTTTCAAAGTTTTTAAAATTTGGTACTATGCCTTTTTTGATATTTCTGTGCCAAGTCAGTCAAGACTGATTACTGTGCAAAATATGCTTAGATAGTACAACTTTAAAGACTGTTAAATTCCAGTTACTTTTTTTTATCCCATACACAGTTTGCTAACATTTTACATTTTGTCATAGAGCTCAGACTAAATGACACTGCATGTTACTTGCTTAGTAATGAGTAAACAAAATTACATCCTTTGTTTTTTTAAGTGACTAGAGCTGGGGAGTTAGTGTAATTTATTAATCAATTAATTGTTGGGCTCATTAATCAGTTAGATTCAACTAATCGAATATTCTTGGATAGTTGGAAAGTAATAATCAGAAGCACTATTTTTGTGATATTAACTATTTTACCTGATTAGTTTCATGACATTAACTGATTCCTTAACCCAACACAAATCAACGTACTCGATGATCACAGGCGATTAATAATATATTACACTGACTAATTTCCCAGCTCTATAAGTGAAATATTACCATAAATAAGCTACAGTACATTAACATAAAATTATTGGTTTTTATGTAACTTCAGTTTTTACTTTAGTTTTACCTGCATGGTTTTACTCATGTGAGGTATAATGCTAAGATTAATATGCTTTTAACACGAATGAGTTGATTTTGCATATATATTTTTCTTTCTGAAATACTTTATGGTACGTAACAAGGTTTTATCGACATTTCAAATTCAACAATCACAAAACAATATCTTGCATGGTATTTTAAATTTAGGTTTCAAGGGAAGTTTTAATTTATGCATTAAGAAGTAAACATAATTTAGGTATTTTATCTTTTATATAATATTTGTCTTTACCTTATGGAAAAGAATATTTGAAGCTTAACATCTACTTGCTTGCATTCCTTTCATCATTTTCATCATGTTGTAATTCCGCAACATACAAACTTCTGTCAATCACCTGCAAGAAGATCGTGAAAGAAGTTTAATGTGCAAAATTATTCCTATACTGACATATTTAAGTGCTACAAAAATAAACATACACAAGTATCTATTTATCTATCTATCTATATATACATGACTAATTTCAATGAATGATTAAAACATTTGTGTCTGTGTGTTAATGAAAGAATGAAAAGTACTGAATAAACAATCATCATACTTTGATATTTAACTACAAATTATTGTGAATTAATCGAGTTAAATTGGCATTTTTTAAATACATGTGTTAATTAGGTTAGTAGCACTACTACAATGTTTAGTATTTTTGAAAAGTGAAAAATAGTCACATTTTAAAAATATAATAGTCTGTTTAATAATAATGGTAACAAAGAATTTTCTATTAAAATTATATTCATTATATTGTTCATATATGGCCAATTAAATTTTCGTGATTTGTCTAGATTAATTTTGGCCCACAGAAGAAAAGATGATCAAAACTGTTGTGAAACTGTGGATAGTATACCTTAGGTATTGGTTTTATCTCTGTTCCAAGTTCTTGTTCAATGCGATGTAGAGAAAATCTATCAGAGTAAGTGATCAGGTTAATAGCAATGCCAAAGTGTCCAAATCGACCTGATCTACCAATACGATGCAAGTATGTTTCTGCCATTTTAGGAAAGTCAAAATTGATAACCACATTTACTGCTTGAATATCAATACCTCTAGTGAATAAGTCTGAAAGAAAAACGAAAATAGATGGACACAAATTATAATCATTAAATTAAATATTCAATTCTGTAAACCATGGTACTTTCAAACATTTTTCAAACTGTTTTCTAATAGCTTTTGTTTTATTTATACTTAAATTTTATTTAAGATAGTAAAACTACTTCACACAATACACATGCTGACACATACCTTTATTATTTTAAAATAACAAGTTGACTAAATCATTAGTTTCATTAATAATTATTCAAAATATACCACCCCCCCCAAAAAAAAATGTAACTGAAAGTGATTTAATAATCAAATTCTATAATGCCATAGAAGAGTTAGAATTGTTTTTTATGGTACATGTTTTTTATGTACATCAGATTTCAGATGAACTGACTAACCTATATTTTAGATGTATTTTAATAAGCAGTTGTACTAATTCTTTGGACCTTCACTTAAAAATGACCTAATACACTGATCTACACCTCAGATAACTGGGACACATTGTTTAATGTATCTCTACTGGCAGACAAGCAATTAAAACACTTTGACAGTAACCAAGTCTCAGTAAGGCAGATGCATTTTTTTTCTAGTATTTGATATAAGCATGCCACTCAAAGTCCTCATTACCACTTAAAATCAAAATCTATTTACCTTTTGTCCGTAATCTACAAAAATACAATTTTTAGTGCAACACAAACCAAGTTATAGTATTAACTCTCTCAACATGGGCTCGGTCAATTTGACCGACCACGTGATCTCTTTCTACTCTAATAAAGTCTTTATAGATTTAATACTTCTAACTTTCAATATGGCATGTATATCCTCACAAAATTTGGCAGTCTTTCCAGCTTATAAGTCTTATACTTCACTTAAAAATATGTATTTGTTTTGAATAGTCAGTGTGAAAAGTAATTTTCATGTTAAAATAAAAAATACGTTTCCTCATCTCAGAACTCTCAAATTTCCTTAGTATAATCCCTAAAACTTCGTACATTCATTTATCCCAAGTAGCTCTAAGTTCATAACAGTATACATCTATTGATAATTAAATTGTATTGTTTTATTGCCCTTTGAACTGTGTCTAACAACTACCTGTGCCATTATAAGTTGTAAATCACTTGGGAAATGTGCAGCTCACATGCATGCCTTGTGAACCATTTTAATTATATTATTATTATTATTACTTATTTTACCTAATCTAGTCTTAAATAACTTAAAAAGATCCATATAATAAAGAATAAATATGAAAACAAGAAATAAAGTACTTACCCAATCTTCTTTGAAAAACTATACTCTTGTAAGTGAGGGATAAATTATAATAAATTTGATTATGCACCACTACTAAAAGAACAGTAATAAAATCATGTATTTTGTAAACCTTAGACTACTATCAGTGTGTTTCTGTTAAAGTGGAGAATAAAAATAATTTTGTGTTATACAGAATGGTAGCCCCAAAGCAGTTTCATAATAATCATCATTGTATCCTAAAACTTAGTGTACTTAAATATCATATCTTGCTGCTTCTTATATGTAAAAACTATCCCAAGAAAGTGATGAAATATTAAGATCAACATATATAATATTTAATAGGCTAAAATAGAAAACAGTTTCATTTTCATGGTCATTAACTTTATGATTAATCACTTAAAAAGCTGATTTCTGACCTGAGCAGACCAAATTCCGGCAAAGACCAGCACGAAAATCATGGAAGACTCTGTTACGATGTTGCTGAGACATTTTAGCATGAATGTAGTAACAAGAATAACCCAGCTCTGTGATTTTCTTGGCAAGAAGTTCTACTCGTTGAGTTGAATTGCAGAAAATGATGGATTGGTTTATTTGTAGCTGAAGTAAAATACACAAAATAATAAATAAAATGCTCTTCGAGTAGGAAATATTTATGTGTACTTCTTTATTAATTTCTCACCAACAACCCATCCCTCAGCTTAGAGTATATTGTAATGGTGAAACTCAAGTGAATATTCAGTCCTTTGAATATTATAAACATAGTAAAAAAAACAACAACGTATGCTACAAATCTGAATATCATTTAATGATTTTAAAAAACAACTGTTAGAACAGTCTCAATTTTCTGAAGAACAAACTGAAGTTATTTACTCAACAATATCCAAGCCAACTGAAGATCACTGCTAAACGTACACAATTACTTAAAAAAAAACAAAAAAAAAACACCAAAACAATCCATATTTAAAATTACTGTTTTAAAGAACTACCTGATCTGAAGAAAAAAATACTAATTTCACCAAAGGTACTTTAATAATAATTCATTCATGGTACAGGGTGTATTATGAGATATTACTTATCAAGCAGGAAATTAAATAATCCATATGTACAAGTTAATTAACTGTTCTTTTCTAAATACTGTATTATCTTGTATTCTTTCGTATTTCTAATTAAAAAGCCCTGAACATGAAAAACACAAATATTAATGTATTAGCTGCCTTAGTAACAAGGTTGATCAGACATTTTCAAAATCCAAAGACAGTTGTAATTAGCAGAAAAAAAGAAAGAGAAACAAATACATATAAGCAAATGGTCATATAAGTCTTAAAACAGGTATGGCATGATGCTAATTAGAAAGATGATGATAACATTAAACTTAGTAAAAAAACAAAAAAACACTATTCAGAGTAATTTGAAAATTATTTTTACCTCTACATAGATTTTTTAATAGTACATTTACAAAACAAATGATTGAACCATCATAACAGAAGCCCTCACTTGGGCCAATAACAAGAATGGAGAGAGGGAGAAAGAGGAGGATAAATTATAGAAAGCAGTATGTCAACTGAGAAGGCTACAGAACCAATGCTGTTAAAAAGGTATGACAAAGCTAGGAAGAAAATTATTACTAGTACATGAAACATGGAAATGCCATTATAGCCAGTAGAAAAGCCAGTCTTCACTTAATCATTAATGGGGCATATAAGTCTCACATTAAAGATCACAAAAAATATAAAACTAGACTAAAATCCTGAGATACAGAAAACTCAGTTTCAACAAGTGAGACTGGCAGAAGAAAGAGCATAATTAAGCAACTGAAAGACCATAAAGCCTAACTGATAATAATACTGTGAACAAACATTTGTAAAAGAACAGGTATTGTTCTGAAGATCAGTGTACAGATACCAATTAATTATACTTGTCATAAGATATTACTATTAGGCCTATCGTTTTTCTTAACTGTGTTTGTTTGTTGTTAAGCACAAAGCTACACAATGGGCTATCTTTGCTATGCCCACCACGGGTATCAAAACCCGGTTTTTAGCGTTGTAAGTCCGCAGACATATCTCTGTGCCACTGGGGGGCTTTTTTTAACTGAAAAAAGAAGCTAGTGTTTAAAAAAGAAAATAATATATTTAAGTGTCTTATGACAAATATAATCCATTATACCTATGTTTTGCCAGCTTAGAAAAGGCATTCACTCCATAACCCTGATAAGTTTATGAAGTTATAGCATGATAAACAGCTTCTTACAACAGTTTGCCTTTTTTTTTATTTTTTAAATATAATACATTCTGTACAAAATAATGATGTGCAGAGTAAAGGAGTCTAGGGATATGATACAATATTACATAGTAAACAGCAATTATTTAAATAGAAATTCAAAAACGCAATCTTGACATTAAAAATTTTATTACATACACTGTTTTCAAAGTTCTAAAATTAAAATGTCTTTCACGGAACTATATACCATTTTTTAATTAAAGGTAAGGAATGTAAAATTAAGTACTTTTTGGGGAGAGAATAATGATCATTTGAAAAGAAAACCCATTTTCAGTAAAAACAAAACAAAACGTAAATGAAGTGCTACATGCTACATTTACTTTCTGCATATGGTGTCAGTCATTTTGACCAACCTTGTAACCACTATGTAAGGAAGAAATTATACATACTATAACTCTGAATTTACTAATGTAGCTTCATAAAATTTGACAACATTTTATTTCACATTATAAGTCTGCTGTACACAAAGAATACATTTTTTAATAATGTATTTTTGTTAAAAATTTGTCTGAATTTCTGAAGCTTTTACTAAGTCAGTTTGAGTGAAAGGTGATTTCCCTGCAAGAATAAAACTTTTCATCTTACAATTTTCATATTTCATTTGTATAACCACTATCTAGAATCTCCTAAATGAGTATGAAGTTATTTTTTTCAGTAAATCTTTATATTTAAAAAACATTTTTCTACCTTAACACTAACTGTAGCAAAATCAGTAATATATGGTAAAATGCATAGTTAAAAAATACAAAATAATTTTAAATTACCCTTTTTTTCCCCTTCTAGAACGATCACATACTGTAACAGATAATTATTTATTCTTATAGCCAAAACTAAAAGACTTTCCATATCTGGTTTATTTTACTGGTTGACAGCTGCACATTTTTGTGTAAACAAAACAATAGAATTACTAGCATGCACACACACAAATTATACAATCATGCCTCATAACGTGTTCGTGCTATTACAAGTAATTTTTGCTTCATTTAAGTTTTCTTATTTAACCTAACAAGTTTCTAATTTTTACATTTTAGTATATTTTATAACAATTAATAAAATATACATAAAAATAAGAAATTTAGTACTTACACGTGAGCTTTTTATTTTTTGTGCTCTGAAATTCCCGACAAACCTTAATCCTACTTTTTCAGTAGGGATGTTGGTAGCACAAAAAATGATTATTTATTTCAAATATGCAATTTAGAACACAAAATATTATTACCACATGAAATATAATATATTAAATCTTCTATAATTTAAATGGATTTCTAACTAACTATAAATAGGTTAAGAACATTCCATTAGCTGGTCAAACTGATCTGACAATAGATGAAACTGTAGGCCAAATAATTCAAAAAGTGTTGTCAGAATGAGCTAGCCTAATAGCAATTTCAGTAGATTTAAACATTCTCTTTCTATTGGTTATAAATAATTCAACAGCAAATGACAGAGAGAATTACTGACATACTGAAAGATAGGATGGGACAGGAGGACGAGGCATGTGAGTTTGACTTTTTGTATATATCTCAGTAATGTAATAAGTTTGGACACTATAAGTTTACATTATAACTTAGCAATATTTATACTATAAGTGTACGATCTTTGCCAAAGTCAGATCATATAGGAGTAGAAAGAAAACTTAAAATGAGCAATTCAGAGTAAAAATGTGTCATGTGATACAGATAAATTTATATTGAGAATTTATTTAAATATTTCGTTTTGAAAGTAAAAAATTAAAACTTAGATAATGTAAAAATTTGAATTACTGATACAAAGTTTATTAACACATACTGATAATAAAGTTCATAAATTAAATTTTGAATACAACTCTATAAAAAGGTCATGATATGTCTACATTGACTCACCCGATTTCAAAGTGTTAAATGCATTATGGTTTGCAGTGATTTTAAAATCCATACCTTAGAAAACAATGTGTTCAGACAATGAACCTTCTGTCTCTCTTGAACGAAAGCATAGTACTGAGTTATACCTTTTAAAGTCAATTCATCCATTAGGTTGATCTCATATGGCCCTTTTAGGTATTTTCTCTGTAAAGCATTAGAAAAATTTTTATTTTACATTCAGATCACCCAAAGAACAAAAAAATTGAAATACTTCACTAATTTGTAAAAATTAAAAATGTACACAGAATAACAGCAAAGTAGAAAGAGGTTGAGGCTGATCTTGTTAAATTAATTTAGTTTATAAAATTGCACAAGTACCTTCTTTGGCTTGCCAAAAAGGTTACAAAATATAATAACTTTTGTTTTTTGACCAATGCTATAAAATATCAGTGCAAAACTATGATGTTCAATTTCACGATATTTAACCAAATGACATATATTGACGTGGAATGGTTCTCTTCTATTACAAAGTCAGATGCAAAAATATCAAGAAACATTGGGAACAACTTTAATATATGAAATTATATACCATTAAACTGGCATTATAAGTCCATTGACATACACTAAATAATTTAAATTTTACATTCACTGAACTAATAGACATAAAACACAACATCCTATGATTTTAATTCATACAGTTGTAGAAACCAAATACCGAAGAATAAATAAATAAATAAAGAAGAACTCAAAAAGAAAGAATTTTACTACCAGTATTACTCATCACAAACTTTTCTCTATATAACACTAAAGTCACCAACATACATCTAGAGCAGTGGTTCTTAACCTTTTTTGCTCCATGCCCCACCTCAAAACATTTGATACCCCCCTTAATATAAAAACAAATTTGGTGTTGAAATGGTATAATAATATAATGTAAAATTTTTCTTATTGTAGCATTTTCAAATTGCCCCCCTGATCTAGAGAATCTTCATGTCCTTCAAGAAAATTCCAAAAAAGGTCTTTATAGCCATCGTAGTTTTGAAATTATCTGCACTAGCCAATACTCCTGACTCTTGTTAGCCAAATAGTAGAATCTGAGGTACTATTATAATGAATATGGCAACAAAGCAAGTTTTTTTTGTGGTAATGGTACCTCAGATCCAGACCAGTACACTAACCACTGGGCCACATATATCCCTTACTTTTGAATCTCTGATACATATTACAGCATTTGTGAGAAACTTAAAACTTACATTGCTGACAGTAATGTAATATTATACAACCATCATATAATTATGAATTATTATAATGACACAACAGGAAAGAAAAAAAAAGTATGTTACCTACCATAAATTGTTCAACAGTGAGTGGGAATGTAGCCGAGTACACGAGAACCTGGCGATCCTTTGGCAAATAACTGATGATCTTATCTAGCATTTCTTTAAAATCTTGGGACAACAACTTGTCAGCCTAGTCAATAAAGAAGATACTTGTAATAAAGCTTAATATTTAGAAAAATAATTTTTATAAAATACAGAAAAGCCTAAACTTAATTTCTTAATTTTGCTCTTATACAGGGGCTTAAATTATCTTTACAGACAATAAAAAAGCCTAACATTTTCATATCAATCATCAGTATTATGGTAGTTTTCACGGTTACATATGAAAAATGCCTGAAATTTATATACTGTAATCCAGAATTGAAAGACACTCTACCTTAAGACCTACAGTGGAGTTTATTACCCTTTGTAAGAACAAACATCAAACTACATCATTGGTCATGCTAAATATGATGACTTAATGTCATACTATTACCCAATACTGCTTTGTCCTTTCTAACAAGCTTCTATGAAAGTCAACATAGTCAAACTTTGGCTACAGAGACAGACTTTTCAAAGACCCTTCACTGTATGCAGAGTCAGCTTCTAAAACCTTATTTAAACAAACCAAATACACGAAGGTATTGGATTAGAAATGGGAAATGTTGTTGAATGGGATTGCTGTGATTCCTTCTCATAAATGAACCACCGATTTTGAAAAGCTTGTTAGTCTTTGTTATCTTAAATTCCTGTTTATTATTTTGTTAATGGTACTAGAAGATAAGGTCAGCTTCATTCCAGTAACATTTTGGGTTCAAAGCCTTTAAGAATGACTTCAAATGCAAGCAAGTCTTGCATAATGACTCACAGAACCAATAAACGAATTATTTTAGTTCCTGCACTGTTGAACATTTATGCCAAATATAGTAGTTATAGCTCACATTTCCTTTTACACAAATATTTAATGCTTTCTTTTTGTGATAGCAAACTCAGCAGCTCTTAAATTTTGTCTAAAGATGAATCACAGTCAACTATGTTACTGATGTTCATTGAGGTACATAGTTCAAGTCAAATGTCTAGAAGAAGAAACATGCAACAAAAATAATGAGCTTTAAAGTTAACATGTGGAATTGCAGAGAACCAAATGGATAAAGTTTGGCAAAAAAAATTCAAATGTAGTTTTTATAACTATTACAAATTTATTTTGTTTGCAATAATGAAATATTTTTAAAAGATTTAATTTTTTTTTATACAATTTAGGTTATTTTTAGTGCAAACAACAAAGTATTTGTTTAAATTAGATAGTGCTCTTCAGAAGGTGTTTATGGATGTCATTATTTTAAGGGTGTTATGTTTTGGCTTTAGGCAACATCAGACACAACTGAACGGATCAGGGATGAAAATAACAAAAAATGAAACAAAATAATCCTGTTCTCATTTCTGCATCAACTTAATCCTAAATTTTCAGTAAAAATGTCTGATTTCTAAACACACTGTTTTATATTCTTAGGAATTAAGTGCCATTTTTGAATCTCTAAATACAATTATGAAAATTCCATTTCTAGCACTTTTTATTTGGGAATATATATATATAAGAAAGAATATTTATGTTATATTAACAATGTACTTAGTACTTTTAACCTACTTTTCTTACCAACCATTACTAATGGAAACTAAAATATTTCTCCTGTAACCAGCTAACTCCTATGGATTCTACACAAATTCAGTGTTTTCTAATTCATCATAAATTAACTTACTAATATTATTCTGCCACATTAGAGGAAAAAACCCAAATAACTGGACTAGTAGCTACTGGTTAATTTCTTTGCAGAGTGTCTAAATGTTAAAATGGATTGATCTCCTAACAGAATAATCAGATATTTAGAGATTATGTATGTATACTTAACTTTCAACAGCATATTCATTATTTGAACATAATATGCAGCTTTAAGATTTTCAGTTTATATTAACCAATGGTTCTACAGACAACAAATTGTTAATACTAAAAATAGCTATTTATAACATTTTCCTCTTCAAAGTAATATGCTAGGTTGCAATCTTTAAACAATTCATGCATTTAATTTTTTTTAATCACATCCACATGATAAAATAGAGAAAAAAATATTTACTTCATCTAAGATTAGCATGTTGCATTTATCCATTTGAGCAACATTTTTCTCCATTAAATCTAGTATTCTTCCTGGGGTGGCAATGACAATATGAACTGGAAAAAAAACAACAAAAATAAACCAAAAGCCCATTTATTACATGTACACATATATGTGATAGATACAGTGAAAGATATACCTTATCATACAAAAATAACATTATGAAAGGTAGGATACAGTTAGCTTTACTTTGCATCAAAATCACATGTTCCACTGACAGTTTTGCCAATACTATAATTTAAAATATCTCCAGTTATGGTTGTTATGGCTACAGAGTTGTATTATTTAAATTCCCTAAATCAAGAGCAGTAAGTTTTTGAATGAAAACATTTTGTCTCACAGACAAATATCAACTGTTCATCTTAGTTGCTATTTGTCCCCTATTTTCAAGTGATGGACTATAGGGAAAGTAGCTAGTTCCCACCACCTTCTCTTTTCAGATCCAATAGTGGGATTTGATCATCTTTTACAATGCACCCCCTGGCCCCATAATGTAAAGCAGGATTTCTTTTCTTATGGCAGCAACAGGACATGAAGTAAGAAATCTCAGGCCTACAGTCCAACATCACTGGGCTACACTCTGCTGTATTCAATTATTATATTAGTATTTGAATGTTAACTTTGTAATATATATATATATATATATATTCCTATTTTTTAAAATAAAGTAGAACAGTAATGCTTAAGTTCTCACTGGCATTTCTATATTATTAGTGAAATATCTTTTATTTTCAACTTGCATTACTTTTGTAAGGACTAAACATATATTTACATTATTTTTCTTCTTCAGTATAATTTGGATTTTTCATCTGATTGTTTCTCAAAACAAGTTGCTTTTTCATAGAAGGGATTATAAATAACAAGCTGAAATACCCATTAACTGACGGGGAATGTTTAACTTAATTAAAACAATGCAAGTTTAACATCAATCATATATTTCAAAGTAATAACTTGAACATAAACTTTATCTCAAAATCATAACATAGCTTTTTCATAAAAAACATGTGCAGTTTGCTTTCCATCTACTAACAAATAAGGATTTTGAGGTGATCCCACCCTTGAACATGCTACATCTCATTGAGAAAAGTATGGTTGTTTGAGAAACAATCCAGCAACTTTCATACTTTGACTTTGAAACCCTTCAGAATATACATCACTGTTTACAGCATCAACCTGCCAAGATTGTTTGGGATTGACTAAATAGAGTGGGAGTAATTAACCAACAAGCTTTACAAAACAGAAATATGGTTAAGTTCAATTTTGACCCCCTCAAGACATAACCCATAGTTTATAGTGTTTCAATACAAATTTAGTTGAGATTGGCCCAACAGGCTTGGAGGAGTTAGGGTGTAAACATTCACATATTTTGTCTTCATATATATATTCACTTTAACACTGTAGTTACTGTTTGTTGAATTTTGCACAAATCTACTTGAGGACTATCTGTTCTAGCTGTCCCTAATTTTGAACTGATAGACTAGAGGGAAGGTAGCTAATCAACAACCACACAAATCAACTTTTGGATTACTCTAACATAATAGAGAATTTGACTTTCATTCTTATAATGTACACACAGACCCCAAGTGTGAAGTGTGATTTTGATGGTAATCGGGAGAGATCCACACAAACTCAGATCTACAGTCTGACATGCCAACCAGTGAGCTGTACTAGCACCCAAAATTTCACAAACCGAGATATTTTATTATTTTTCTAATTCCATAACAATTAATTCAAAAATAATATTAACCATTTAAAAAGAAATTTATTATACACATTCTCTTATAACTGCAAAATTTGGGACTCAATCCCTGCATAAAGACACAACACAAAGCCCATTACACAGTTTTATGTTAAAATAAAACACATTTTTGCTTAAATGAAAAAAAATCCCTCTGCAAGGTTACCTAAATTCAAATTTTTAGAGCTTTCCAGTGATATAAACAGTACTTAAAAATTAGTGCAGACCACACTTTAACTTTTTAAAGTTTGCTATGATATTTATATAACCCACTGGTCATACTGGATTTTTTCAAAGGTTTTTAATGCCATGTTATCTTCAACCACATACTGTCTAATGAGTATTATAAGATTTTAGATTTAGAGGAGTGAATAGCATTTCAAAATGATAAGCCTGACTTGGAAAATTCATTTTCTAAGACTTCAGTAGACTGGCATTTACAAAAAGAAAGATTTGATATCCAGGAGTCCACCACATCAGATTAAAATGAACATGCAAAAATGGTGATGAGGATGTAGGCAATTAAGCATTAGTACACAAAAGTACCATACATTTCATTCAATGCTTCATCAAGCCATTCAATTAAAATGCATGTGGTACTGTAAAGCTGTTTTACAAGAACCAGCTGTCAGTATTTGATTTATACACAAAGATTACCTTACGAAGACCAAAAATATAGATGACATAGAGAAAGAGCTACCATGAGAACTTCTCAAATATAGTTATTACAGCATGTTGTTCTAAATCAATAATACTTCCAGATGCCATTTTGTACCTTTGTTTCAGACCCTACATTGTAGGAACACAAAGTATGATGTCATAAGAAATTAACATACAAGCTAATAATACTGTTATTTGTTAACCACAACTTTCTACTAAATAGCACGTAAGAAAGAAAAATCCTGGTTTTTGGTGAATACTCCTTATATAAAAGTTAATTTCTTAGCGTAAGTTAGCTGAGGAAAAACTTAATCTCTCTCTGACCTTGATAGTGATTGGGTTAGCCTTCATGAGCTCAATTTATACATGATTTCAAAGCAACTGAATATAAACATGAGATTTTTATGGCTTTTCTACTCAAGCACCTGCACCAGTGATCATTTAATGTCTCCAAGAAAAATAATTTTGTACTACATTAGAATATCATTACAACTAAAAATTCAGTTATTTAGATGACATATTTACCTTAATGTATTATCATTACACACAGTTACTATTCTCTCAATTTCTTTCAATACAAGCAACTATATAGAAAGATAATAGTATTTTTTACACTGTACAAGTGTTTTACAAAAAAAAAAAGATTAAAATTTTCACGTAAAGTCACATTCTATACTGCACTTATTTTAGACTTACGAGTATTTAATATGACATCTAACATTCATGTTACTCATATGAATCTTTCATTATGTAAAATATTTATTTTTAAAATTACCCCAAAAGTTTTGCAATAAAAGTATAATGAGCATTTACATAACAGAAAACCAGAAATAAGTTGTATATTCACAAGTGGTTCATATTCCATATAATATTCTACACATAATAATATTTTTTTCACCACCGAACTTGCTCATTTCTTTACAATAAGTTATGAATTTGTTTGTTTTTTCATAATTAAGCTCCACATACTTACCTTTTTCATAAATCCTCATGATGTCATCTTTCAAGCTTGTTCCACCAGTTGTGACCATTACCCTTGTACCTATATATTTTGCTAGTTCTATACAGATCTGACTTGTCTGGAGGGCCAACTCTCGAGTAGGGACCATAATTAGGGCTGAGAAATAAAAAAAGCAGGAGATTAGTATTATATGAAAAGTATTTCCAATAGTAACTACAAAATAAATAAACCCCAGTATGTAACCCACTTCTTTTCTTCGCTTATGTTTTTTTATCACCATTCAAAGAATAAATATAACAAATATTAAAATTAATTTCTAGTGGTTTGGTGTAACGTGATAAAGTCTATGGTTTCAAGTGTAAATTCATTAATGGTATAAAATTCTTGAAGAAATAAAACTTCATAAAACACATTTGTTTATAATCAATCAATATTACCATTTGAATGATTAATTAACATTAACTTCCCATCAGAGCAAGCTGTGTACTTGGTGCAAAACTAAAAATCAACTTGCAATTAGTATAGCTAACTAAATAATACACACTTCTTATATTTCTATTTATAAAGATTAGAATGCATTATGTGACATTCAAAAACTTAGAAATTAATACCAAAAACAAAGTTGTTAGTGTATTTGCATGGAAAATGTTGTACAAAAACATTATTACAAGATCATTCTTCCAATCAATTTTGGTGAAATACTGCTAGAAGTTATTTATGAACAACTTCCAATATATTTACATTCCTGACTTTTTTAAAGCATACAGAAAGCATGCTTTAACATTTTGAATTTCACATAAATTATGATGTTGATGCACAATACGAAAGGAAATTTTGTTTTTGCAAACAAGATATGGTAGGCTTAATTAACTCATTTTGCACTTGACAATATGAAGATTCATTTTGTAAAAATGGCTGCTATTTAGGATTTTTTTCGTATTAGGCCATATCGGCATAAATAGCTGCAAATAAAATCACCAAAGTTAAATGTAAAAAACAAAAAAATATATGCATATGTGTGTATGTGTTTAAAAGTTATTACATATATTAAATGAAAGCTTAAGACTAAAAATGTGAATTGCACAATCACTTTGCTTATAATTTGAGTATACTAAAAAATGTGACCATAAATATAACGAAACTACATGCATTATTTTTTGAACCAAAACAAAGATAAAAACTTTATAGGAAAGTTTGAAATGAATGTAGGAATACATTAAAATTGGTAATTAAAAACCTACAACAAACTTAGGAATTTTAAACTTTTTTGTGAGAAAAAAATAAAAAATAGATTTGTTATTTACAGATGCTACATAATATGTAGACACTAATTCTGAAGTTTCAAACTATATCATTGAGTAGTTTTATCTGTAATGCATAAAAAACTTACAAAAGCTGTGTCAAATCAACACACCTGAATCTCATATAGTTAAACGACCATTACACATTATACAACTCATTGTATTTTATTGTAGAGTATTTGCTTGATATATATTTTTTTATGATTTATACATACATCTAGACACAATTTTATAAACCCAAAAGTAGGGGAAAATAGCATTCCCTTGAGAATTCTGATCATAAATATTCCAAAAACTACTTATGTGACAACAATAATAACGATAAAAAAAGAAAAAGTGACTCTTACCCTGTATATAATCAAGTTTCAAATCTACTTTTTGTAGTGTAGGTATAATATAGGCACCTGTCTTGCCTGTTCCATTTTTGGCACGGGCTAAAATATCTCGACCTAAAAGAGCAATAGGGATGCTTGCTTCCTGGATAGGTGATGGCTTTTCCCACCCTTTTTCAAATATTCCCATCAGCAACTCTCTTTTTATGCAAAAGTCCTCAAATTCATTTCCTTTTGTTTCTGTCACATCCTAGAATTTATGCATATAAAAAGTCACCAAATAAAGAAGAAAAAATCAAGGTTAAACAAATTAATCTTTCTAGGAAAGTTAAGCAGACTTGACGAAGTATTTTACTAATTCCTAATATCAATAAATATATTAAGTAGTATATATATATATATATATATATATATAT